TACTCAATCTTTCCCCTCCCAAACACATATTAATGTGTACTTATTGGGCGTTGTTTTTTTATATATATATAAATATAAATAAATAAATTCAGTTTAATTTGGTACATAACCTGTGCAAGTGCTTTTTACATGTTTCTGGCTTTGCTTCAAGATGTTGCCTGCATTTGTTAAAGACACATTCAAATCAAGGTCATTCCAGAAACTTGTTCCAGCAAAGTGGCTTTTGCCAAGTGATATTTTCTAGTGAAAGGATCTTGTTCCTGCAGTTGTGATTGTAATTTTGGTTCTTGGATAACACAGGAAATTTGTTTACTTGGTTCTTGCCTTTAAAAGGTTGCTTTGAGCTAGAGCATTTGAAAACCAATTTTACATTTGTGAATCTTTCACTTATTTGGTAAACTTGTTTCTCCTGAAAATTTTCATCTTGTGATCTCATGTAACTTATCCTATGATCGTTATTATTGGATACTTGTACTTTCACTTAAATTTTGGGATTAAACTAGTTTTGGTTTGTTTTGCTAGTTCTTCAAGCAATATTTGCCAGTGAAACAATCCAAGATATTATTCCTTTGGCTTCAAATGCAATTTTGATTCTTGGGCAAGGTATACTGTCAGTTCTTTTGTGAAATTGTTGTGTGATGTTTAAACAGAATATATTTAGTACTAAATTGAGCAAATTTATATAAGCTGTTATTGTTCGTCATACTAGTTACGTCTAACCTTTTCACGTTTGCCAATAAAACATAATGAATTTTGATTTCTCTGACTGAGAAACTGCTCATAAATTTTTTATTTTTCTAATTTTATATCTTGCAAGTTGCGATACAAAGAAACATTATTTCTTTCTTTCCTTTACGGTTGGCATAGTAATAATAATTGCATGACCATTAGTGTAATGCATGCAATACATAACATAATATCACGATCTGAAAATCTCAACAAAAAAGAAAAAAGAAGATAATAATAGCATGATCTGATTTATTGGGCATCTCTCTCTCTCTCTCTCTCTCTCTCATTGGCTGTACGTACTCTGCAGGAAGCTTATTTGCATATACAATTTCCTGAAGGTGCTTGGTGGTTGCCTCTCTATTGGTGAGTCAGTTGTAATTTTGAGATTGTTGTTGAACAATGCCTTATGTTTCTGTATGACGAGATTCGCCTTGCAACTGCTGTAGCTGTTTGAACACATAATTATTAGAATCTATTATTATTTAGTTTTGCAACTAGAAAATTCCTGTAGTGGCTGACTGGCAGTCTCCTTTCACTATAGTCTTGTTTCACTATGAATTTATACTTGATATATTGATTTGTTCCCTGCAGCATTTTACAAACTTAGCAGTTTATTTTGAAGGGCATATCCAGGACAATTTAGTTTGATTTGTGCCAGTTGAGGGGATTCGGGGATCTGAAGTGTATGTTACGGAAGTATGTTTCACATAGCAATTAAATTAACAGTTGTCAAATTTATCTTTGCCATTACCAATCTTATTGTGAAATAATCTAACTCATTTTACATTGAATTCAGTTGGTTGCGTTTGATTTTCTGATTCCCATGGTTCTGTTTGTCATCATTTCATATGCCATGAGCTGAGGTTGCCTCCAAGGACACCGAGCTCTTGCAGGTATGTGGGGGTCTTGCACTCATAATATCTTTCTTCAGAGGTTAAATATTGACCCATTGAATAAAATGAGTCTTCTTACTTTCTGAATGAATAGCATATAAAATAGGCGCACACAATGAGATTTCCTCATCATGTTTGGAAAAGAAAAAGGGAAGGGATTTGTACTAATTCACAGAAAAAACCTGCAAGCGTTTTTATATTAAAAGAACTTAAAATCCTCTATGGTGGGATGTAGTCCTTGGAGATAATTTCATTCTTGTATTCCATAAGAAATGTTTTTTCTCTACAAAACAGTGTTCAGACATCTCATATCGTTCTTTGTTTTTCTCTCATGTTCCCTGACATTTTAAGACAAAGGTAGGGTCTATAATGTATAATTAACAGTAATGGTCCACAGAAAGACATTTATTTCAAATTCCGTGATGAATAGAATGTAATGGTTTCATTTGAAAAGGATGTGTGAATGCCCAAAACTTACAAAAAAAACTTTCTACAGAGAAATAATGTAAAGGGACCAATTGGATATTAGATTTTTTTGCTTACTTCATAGTTGCTGCTTCTGCTTGGTTTGTTAACATGTTGCATTTTATAAGCTACTGTATATATACTGTTAGGCAAATGCCGTAAAAGATTATATATGGCATACAAAGTCTGTCATAAATATATTAAAAATGCCCTTCTACGGCATATAAAATTATGTCATGAAAAGTATGATGATTTATGACATGTAAAAAATGTCATACGACATACAAAGTATTCCATTGATGTTTAATTTATTACTTTTTACAACTTTACCTGTATGTCGTAAATGACGATCAATTTTTTACATGTCATATAATGACATTTGTATGCATGCTATGAAAGAGTTTTTACGGCATGCATTGCAAGCCGTGAAAATTATAATAAATAGAAATTTCTCTGAGTTATGTGGTTCAAGATTTTCACTGACGTTGGGTTTGAATTTGTTTTGGTGTTCGGTAAGGTTGTGTTGTTAGTTGGACGAATAGTTCTTGAATTTGTTCATGCAATCTAATATTTTCAGTTTCAAGCTCTGAAATTAAACATCTCAACTGTTGAATTGTTTTTTTATCATCTTTTTAAATCTCCAATATCCTTAGTTTCATTTGGTTTGTGCTGTCTCTTTCTTGAAGTTCCGAGTTATTTGATGTCAAGATTCTTATTGCAATGTCCTTTTCTTGAAGTAATTCATTCAAAATTTTCTTTTCTTCTATTTTGGATTTAGAAAGTGCCTTTAGTCTTTGATGTAGATTAACAATTTGAGCATCCTTTGATTCCTCAGATTCTGATGCACTGTTGAGCCACAAATGCTATCATGATGTTGGTCCATGGGCTTATTATGTTCTTCTTCATCCCTTTCCTCATTGTTTTTTTCTTCTTCATTCAATTCAGTGTCTTCATATTCTTCTTCATTGTCTTTTTTTTCTTTCTGTTCGTTTTCTTCTTTGTCTTCTACTTCTTCATTTTCTTCTCTAGCTTCCTCTTCTGCACTATTTTCTTGATCTTCTTCTCCATTGCTTGCTTCTTGTTCTTCTGTGTTGCTTTCTCCTTCATTCCCTCTTTCTTTTTCAGATGACTCACTAATGTGTAACAATCTAGAATTTTTCCCTCCGCTCGAGCAGGGGATTTGACGTTCGAGTGAACTTGTGAGGCTTCCAGTACTTTTGTAGTCTGTCCAAGATTCTGAGAGTTGTGAATTCCCGCATGAGCGGTCGGTTTTGTTGGTCTGCGCATTCGAGCACAAGATTGGGCGCTCGAGCAGTCTCCCTGGTTGAGTTTGAATTTATGAGACTAGTGGCATTGTTTTTGACCTTTTATTATTATGTTTGGAGCCTCTCTATTTTATTTTGGGACATTGATTGAAGTGGTAACATGATGGCAAAGTAAGATTGGATCAAAAATTTTAATTCGGATAATCTTCCTACGAACAGCCGTCACTCTTTTACCCTTTTATTTTTTCACACTTTAAATTTGGGTGTGAGGCTAGAACCATTGGAAAGCTTGTTTCTGGGGCTTCGATTTGGACACAAGAACAACCTAAAACGGAATCCAAATGGGAGAATTATACCCGTTTGAATTTTTAGTATCTGTGCTGGAAGCAGGTACGCTCGAGCGGGAAAAGAGACGCTCGAGCGGACTGCGCAAATTCAGCAACTTAAAAAGTGATTTTCTAGATCATTCTCTCCACTTTTCTTTTTTCTCTTCCTCCCCCTCATCCTAGGCCCGAAAAACGCTAGATTTTTTACCCAAATACCTTCCATCCCCTAAAGTTTTGGCCAAGATCTCTTACCAAAAAGTGAAGAATGCTTGAAGATCTCACTTTTCAACCGATTGAAGTTTGGATTTGTGAAGGAATCTTATCAAAACTTTTCTCTTTTGCTTGATTCTTGAAGTAGGAGTCCTAGTTCTTCTTCAATACTTGCATTAATAGATAGACTTGTGGTATTTTGATTATATAAATACAAAAATACATTGTTGAGCATGAGATTTGGGGCTTAGGGTTTGAAGTGTTGGGGTTTAATTGTTGGGATAAGATTGTGGATTATGAACCTTAGGTGTATAATCAAAGGGAAAATTGGAATAAAAAGTAGTGGTGTGAGAAGTTTTAATTTTTCTTGAAGTCTTGATTTTCCTTGAAAACCCTAAGTTGATTCATGATGATAATTAATGATTTTGCCTAAACTGAAAGTAGAATCATGAAATTGAAGGGTCGAATTATATATATACAAGTTTAATTGAATTTTAGAAGTGTTTGAAATTTTGTAAATTGGTTATCATAAATGTTGGGTTTATATGTATTATTTTGAGGGCGTTACATAGAAAAAATAGACTCAGGAAAATATGAAGAATAAATGTAAAAATGAAGAAAAATGATGAATTCTCTATATAAATTGAAGTAAGGGAAATGGAACTTATAAACTTCTATGTAACTCTTTGGAAAGGTTGTGATGCTTCAAAAGGACACACCTTTCCAACTCAAGAGACACAACCATTGGAGTAAATTTTAATTCAAATTTTCTAACAATATATATATATAGTATAGATAGATAGTATAGATTTATCATTTTATTTAAATATATATAATCCTATCGACTTTTAAAATTTAGATAATTGACAAATAATTAAAAATTAGAAAAAAGTGGAAGGAGAGACTTGAGAGGTGACACGTAAGAGAGAGAATTCATAAGAATTTAATATTAAGAGTTTGAGAAATTCTCGGTTGCGTTTGACAGAGCTTTCTAACTATAATTTGAGAGTAGAAGTTATATTTTGAGTTTGTGAGTTTTGAAATTATGATTTGAGTGTATAAAATTTGTTTAGTAAAAGAGTTTTGAAATTAGTTTTGAATTGAGTGGGGCATTTTTAATGTGACATATGATATTTGATATAAAAACTTACAATTTATAACCAAACACAATTTAAAATTTTATTAAAGCTCATAAAAAATTTAAAAAATATTTTTTTGAAATACATAAAAATTAATATGTGTCAATTGCACAAAAAAAAAAATTATTCCGATCAACCTGCCGAACACCGATGGAATAACTGATTATCCTAAATTTTCCAGCCTAAGATAGAGGGTTCAAAATTAAATGTGAAATTGACTTTAACTATAAGTAAACATGAAACTCAAATCACGGGGGTGGAATTAGCTTTGAAAAAGTGTTCCAAAGCCCTCATGCTCCACTACATTTTCTTATATAAATAATAATATAATATAACATAGATATAGATAGAGATATAAATAGTAGAGATATGAAATGAGACTCACTCTCCTCTTTCATTCATGCAGTCAGACTCTTGTTATATGCATGGTATAGATGGATACGAAATGAAATTCTCTCTCCTCTTTCATTCATTCAGACTCTTGTTATATGCATGGATCGATCAAAACGAACCTCTTCTTTTTCTCTATCGTCGTCTCTGCGAACCCTAGCTTTTCACTCTCTCTGTGCTTCGATCAAAGCTCGCATTTTTAAACTTTGAGCATGGCTTCCGGATCATCGGGCCGTAACAACTCTGCTTCGAAAGGGTTTGATTTCGCCACCACCGATGACATTGTTTGCTCGTACGAGGACTACGACAATTAGGATAATTATAATGGAAGGCACTCCGATTCCGTGATCGGATCCAATTCTGCTAAGGTATTGTTCTCATATGCTCGCTATTTATTGGTGTGATTTCGAGTCGAAATTGTATTGTGTGATTGGTAGTTTAGGGTTTTTGGATTTTGATTTGGATTAGTGAAATTATACTTTCTGTTTCATTTACTTGAATGGAGAAAACTCTTGTTGAATTACAATTAACATGGTATACCGTGGCAGAATTGGATCCGATCGCGAAATCGGCGTGACTTCCTTTAGAATTATCTTGATTTGTAATGGAAGATAGTATATGCCAGATTTCTGTTCATGGGGTTTGTTGTTCTGATATTTGTAGAGATAAAATCTTTAGTCTAACAGCAAGTTTTTTAGAACACAACCAAATTAATTAATCGTTCAATGAAAATTTTGAATTTGCTATTTTTTTTAGCAATCCTAAGGTAAATAGGCTTATATGTTTGTTTCTTTCAAATTTCCTTATTTAAAGGGTTGCTTTTGAGAAAAAATGATCCAAATGAACAAGAAAACAATCTGATCTCTGTCCAAAACAATCTAATATGATAAACAATATACAGAAATGCAATAATCAGCTTAAAACTTGTGGTAAATAGGCTTATATGTTTGTGGTTCAAAATTTGTTACTTTCTGTAGTAACATGAAAAATATATGCTATAATTCATGCTTATGTTTATGCATACGTATTTGTTGATGTGGTTTATTTCCCCTTAAATCTAAGCGTGTGTTAGGTTTCTTTGGTTGTTGTTTGTTACTAATATGTCTAAATTTATCGTAACGTTTTGGGTTTTAATTCGACTATGACCTGTGTTTGCATGTCATATTTGTGATTAGCTTTGAAGAACAATGCAGTGGTCCAGAGAAAGGTGACTAGCTAGAATTTGGGCCTGGAGTTCTTCTCAAGGCCTCTCGTTTCTGCGCACACACAAAACTATCTCAGTTTGCTTCAATACTGAATTTTGCTTGTTGTAGGATAGTGTTGGGCAGCGGACCTTGGTTATTTACTTGTAAAATGCAGTGGTTTCCAATTGGGTCACCCTAAAATCCATTTTATTTTTCACATGTTAGTAGTCTGAAAGTCTCTTCTCACTGCTCTGTGGATACCTTTACTATAGTTAATGTCTGCTGGATTTGAATGTGAGCCATTTTGTTTGTTGAGTTAGTGTTTACCATCCTCATTTTGTTTACACAAAATATTTTTGAAAGTTAACATTAACATTGGTGGTTCAGTGCAAGTTTTCTTTCCTTCCGAGACTTGCCAAATTCCCCCAACCCAAAATGGGAAAATCACCAATCTAATTGTATGTGCATTGCTGTTTCCTGCTTCAGATCCTTGAGATTGAAACTCTTTAATGATGGCTACTGCAACCGTCTCTTTTGCTGGTCCACGTTATGCTCCAGAGGACCCCACTCTTCCCAAGCCTTGGAAAGGGCTAGTTGATGGTAAAACTGGTTATCTTTACTTCTGGAATCCGGAGACCAATGTCACTCAGTATGAGAAGCCCGCTGCCTCTTCACACACGGGCTCAGCTCCACCACAAAAGCTGTCTGCAGCACCTGTAAGTTCTTCGGTTCAAGTTGAACAATCTTCTCATGGACATTGTGACAGTATCTTCAACGATGATGACGATAGATATAATGGAGGTAGCAATAGTGGGTCTAAGCTTGATACAGGAACTCGGAGTTATCAGGTGTGTTCTACTCATGTTTACAAGCTTTGCTTTTTTGTCTTTATAGTTTGTTCAGAGAGTCAACCAGTAGTGCTGCTATTGATATCACTCAGGTTACCTTGTGAAATATCTAGACTTGTGAACCTATCAACCTGTTGGGAGGTTGGAAGTTGGATGATGATTCTTGATTTAGGCTTCTGTGCCCTGATTTTGCTTTTCTTGAGGTGTTGAATGGTGGTCATATATATATTCAAAAAAAAAAAAAAATTCCAGTTGTTTATGGATAAATTTTACAGTACAGGACCTATGTTAGTGGACTATACTTGGATAAATTCTAATTTACTTCAGCACAGTTTTTAATAATGTATTAACATCTAAGTGGATAATATACTATTAGTTTAATAATTTTCGTTTCCTTTGCGTCCTCTATTTGGTTGTTGTCTTCACCCTTTTTGATGAGGTGTATTTATTGCATCTGACTGTTTGAACACCCATAACTGGCTCAATTGACATTGTGCAGTGGCTTTTGGGAAGTGCCTGCGTGGATTGAGTGCTCTTAATATTGATGCACTTGGCTTCCATGAATATATCTAGTTGATTTTTTAAATGAATCATTATAGAGCTGATTTACTGACACTAGGCAAGTGAACTAGGATGGGCTTTGATTTTGTTGAAATCGTTGCTTGGGAAACTATGCACAAGAATTCAAAAGGGATTAGAAACTTTGTTCATAAAAGCATGGGTAACCATTACATTTGTGTCACCTCGATGACTATTAATGAGCCCTAGGTTGATGATGTTAGTACCTCAGACATCTTGTTCGTCTATTTCTTGAATTTATGCCAGTAATTTTAATTTAGTTTGACGTTTTGGACAGGATTTTGTTCTGTGATGAAAGCCAGGATACACCACACTATGAAGTCCTTGCCAAGTTTGGTTTTCAATTCTTGTTGTAATGAAAGTTCTAAATTTATCACAACATTTTTAGTTTTGCAATGGGTTGCAGTCACATCTACTTTTGAGACAGCTAAAATGTTGTGTTTGGTGCAAGTTGTGAAAAACTTGCTTGGGAAAATATCGATTTTGGTAAACATGAAGTGTGTGTAGCTAAGAATTGAGGGGTTATCTTTAAATCTTTAATTTGCTTTGGTAGAATTTATGCATTAGTCCATGCTTCCACTTCCTTCTGTGATGGTTTGGTCCTATTCTTGTTGGCTTGCTAAACTAATTACTCTTATTTTGCATTAGAGTGGGAAAGGTGGATCAGATCATCCTCAAAATGTTCCTAATGAGGAGATAGGCGTTGGACATGGAGGGTCTTCTGGCAGAGGTTATGGCTTTTGGCTGTTGGAAATGGCCCATCTGTCGAATCTTGTTGCCGTCAGCATGAAATTACTATTAGTGTAAGCATCTAACAATATTTGTACATTAGGTTGCTTACTTATAATCTGCAATATTTTTGCTTCTTAGGCATTCCATTTGATTGAACATTGGGTTCTATATTTTACTTTCAATATTTGAATCCTTGGGTCGTCGCTCATGATGCTTTCTTTGATGATTATGAAGACAGAAAGGTTCTCAAGTAGAACAATCTTGTTTTCAGTATAGAATATTACAATTAAATGTAGTTTATTAGTTTACAACAGTATGATTAATTAAGTTGCACCCCCAGACCTCGCTTGCTCTTTATTGGAATTCTTCTGGCTCATGCCTCTACACTAGACATGCATTTGGGAAATCAAGAAGTGTGGCATTATTTCATTGTCCATGGTGTTTTAGGATCTCCTTCAATTTTCCACTATGTATTCCTTTATATTTTCGTTGTGCAGTTTATATTGTTGAAATGGATTAGGGTGTTTTTGTTTCAATTTTCATCAGGGAGATAATGTACCCCCTCCTTTAACATCATTTGAAGCTACTGGTTTTCCTTCAGAGCTTCTTCGAGAGGTATGAATTTCTTTCTATGTTTGCGACTCTGTATTGGCCAGAAGTCTATGCAAGTTTACTTTGATATGTGATCTTAGTGTTTTCTGTGAAAACTTTTGTGATTGTTGGAGGTCTGATGTGAAGCTTTAGGACTTATGTTCATTATTTTCCATCTTTACTTTTTGTCGCAGGTGCGAGGTTGTTGGGTAAATTTGAGAAAGTTTGGGTCTTCGTGTAATTTTACATAAGATGGGGTTGTATTTATAATAAACCTATATGCGTGTTTGGCATGGAGAAATGAGATAAATGTTGGGTTATTGATAGAAATGGAACCTTAGGGTTGTTTTGTTAATTACGGGAAATGTCCTAATTACATTGATGAATTAATTTGTGAAATTAATTTGAGAGATAAGGAATTGAGTTGAGAATGTTGAAATTAGAAATGAATGGGATTAAAGGGTGTAGTTGGATTCATTTATCGCTCACCTAGTTGAAATGTTGATGTGTTATCCATTTGGTGCATTTATTTTCTGTTTAGAAATAACTACTTTGGGCTATCGGTGGAGGATAGTCTTGATTGTTGTTGACAATGCATGATGATTAGGGAAATTGGAACTAATCAATTGGATTGTGTCATTGAACGTGACGGTGGAATTAACACATTGAATATGTGAATTGTTGAGTCATTGTATATGACTATGTGTTTAAATACATTGTATATGTATGTTGTGTAGGAGGAGATAGTGGATGTACTCCATGGTTTGGGAAGAGATAGGGGATGGACTCTCAAACCTGTTTGGGAGGAGATAGGGGATGGACTCCATTAGCATCACTTTTATGTGTGCTTATTTATATAGAAGTGTTTTATTGATACAGCACTAAAATGTG